GCTGATCTAGCAGTAGCCTGCAGTGCTGCATTTAACCACTGCGCCACCTCGGCTCTCATTAGCACCTTTTTGGTATATTTGGTTGATCATACACCTGACTATAATCCTACAAAATCCCTGACTTTGTGCAAGTGTACCTATGAGAATGGAAGCTGGTTTGAAGGCAAAAGGTAGTAACACCAAATATTGATTTGATTTAGGTTTTTCTTTTGTTCGCTCACTTTGCATTTTAAACGTTGACAAAAATAAACAATCATTATTTATTTCTGAAAGCATTCTTTGTTTACAGCATTTTTTCAAACTTGACTAAAATCTTTGCACTGTATGTGCGAGGGGAACCTTTACCTTTATCTTTTAGTGTTCGAATATTGTTAGAATCCTCCCTTTTTTATCAGATTGCTGTATCACATGCATTTCTCTCTTTGAATTAAATTCCAGTGCATCCATCCCAAAAATGTCCTCAATAACTATTCTTGAATTCATGGAGATTAGGATATGGAAGATTCAAATAAAGCTGTATATCATTCATTGACTGTTGATATTACAGTTGAAGCTGATGAAGACCATATTTACGCTATCAAAGTTACTGAGGTTCCAAATCAGTCAGCAAAATTTGGCCATTGAGGGGGGCGGGGGAGGTCAGCGTGGAAGATAGAATATAGGCAAAAAAATTCAATTGTCTTTGTAATATTTATTGCCTTTTTCTTTCACCATCGTCACTATTGCATCATTCAACTGATACAGTAATCACTCATTTCTGAATGACCTTTCTTTTCTTCAGCCTATTCATACTCATTCCCAAAAAGATATTAAGGTTTGCACCTGATGTTTGTTAAACTTTATCTCCAAGGTAGCCAGCCTGGTCTCTGATGTAGTATTGGAGACTTCAAAAAAAATGTTCCTTAGCAACTTCTACTTGTCAAGGCTAACTCTAGACTTCAGGGTCTCTATGACAGTCATAAGGCTTTCATATGACTAACACATTAAAGGTGTCATATTCTTGTTTTGAAAGCAGTCATTAATAGTTTTTGCTCTAATAAAATTTGGAGGTGAGATCTCACCTGTTTCTAAGACATTGTTAGGAGGATCTGCCTCCAGAGTTGTAGATTCTTGAACGCTGTATGAATTTTCCAAGTCAGGATTTAAGATTCTGTTGAAGCTCTAGTCTAGCTATGGGGATGAGATAAGCACTGATAAATTCCTTGGCTCTCAAAAGAAACAAGTTAAAGGTTAGATTGTTATGGTACAAATCACAGAAATCTTGGTACAAAGTTGATCAAATGTAGGGTGGAACACATTATCTCATGATAATGAGGGGTTTAGGATGTTGAAGTGCTGGCCTTTGGCACAGTGGGCTTTCCTCCTCCAGTGGCCTCTGCCAGCAATTGTCCACTGCCAATTACCCCTTGGCACTAGGGGAAGTCATCCTGGCCCATTCCCTGAGGCATGGTTTTATCTGGGTGTTCTGCTGCAGCAGACAAGTAGCTGCCAGCCAATCAGGATTGAACAGCAATAATGGTGCTGAGAGGATAGTGTGTGATTGGTGGTGGGTGGGGTGAGTGCGGGGCTTGGGGTAAGTGAGGCGTTATGGGGCAGCAGACAATTGACAGCAGGCAGGGTGATCGTGGGGGCTATGGGGATGCAATACGTGATTGGCAGTGGGTGGGGCAGTCACAGGGATATGGGGGCAGCACATTGGCGGTGGCCAGAATGATCGTGGGGTTGTGGGGGGAGGACGAGCGAGGGGCATGTGAGGCATTGTAAACTAATGCAACCCTACCTAATTCCACCTCTCATGCAAGCTGTAAAAGCAGTTTGCAAGCCATAGTGGCCTGCATACCCAAATCCCATGCAAGCTGGAATGTCTTTGCATGGCTTGGAGCCAGAGGGACTGAGAATATGTGAAGCCAGCCAGCTTGGACGTTTGGCTCAGTCAATCAGCTATTTAAGCTAAAAGCAGAAAAGCCAGGTTTGGTTTTTTTTCTTTCTTGAGCCTGAGGAAGCTGTTGGCTGCCAAGAATTTAATCATCTTGATTAGCCCAGAGCAACTGCAGGAATTGGAAAACTGTGCCAGCTTCCAGGTTTCACAAAACTATAAAGAGGAGAGAAGGTGAAGCTTGACAGCCCGGGTTTGTCGCAAATGCGGAATTCCAGGCATTAAAGCCGGGCAGCTGGCTTGAAGGCCCCTTGTCCCCCTCCCCCCAATGCTTGTCCCACCCAGCGCCAATTGCATGCAGCCCCCCCCCCAATAGCTCCCATGATCACCCTACCCACCACCAATCACACAATGCCGTTGTGATTGCCCCACCCGCTGCCAGTTGCATGCTGGCTCTTCAGCACCATCACTGCCACCCATTCCCCGATTGGCTGTCAACTACTTGTCCAGAATAGCTAAACACCCAGGTAAAATTGTGTCTGTGGGAATGGCTTGGACACGGGGGGTGAAGGGCCAGGAAGCCATTGGTGGTGGACAATCACTGTCAGACAGCAACAGAGGAGAAAAGTTGGTGCCACTGAGAGTCGGCACCTAAATATCCTCTTCCAATAATGAGAGTAATCAAAAAGCTTTCTTAACAGTGTATTGCCACCACTGCATCATAGCAGAGTGGCTTACTGTCAAAAATGGAATGTTATTATCTAAGGAAGTGCCAAATTTGGGCTCACATTGTGCATTCCGAAATAAGAGATTATTTTTTGGTTTGGCTTCTTCATTACATATGCAATATCTCATACTAATTAGTTGTACTTAACTTTACTCTTATTTGAAGGTGTTCCTGCTATCACTCCAAATATGAATATGGCTAATGATGCTCTGTCTATTTTGGAGACCATAACATCTCTTAACCAAGAAGCCAGTGCCACCAAGGCTTCTACAGAAGCATCCAACACTAAGACAAATGAGAGATTCTCAAAGAAACTCCTATCTCAGCACAGTTTGGATGGCAGCATAGAGAGAGACCGGAATGCAGAAGATGTTGCTGATGGAGAGAAAACTCCTTATATCTCTACAGAAGAAAGTTTTGAACCAGTAGTAAACTGTGAAGATATAAGTAATTCATTTTCTTCAAACGAAGAAGGGAAAACTATATCAAAAGAAGCTAGTAGCCTGCTTAATCCAAGCAAGGAAAATTTTCAGGAAAGTGATGAACAAAAAAGTAAACTGGTGGATAAATGTGATAGAAAACTGGAAAGCTTGGAAAAAGGAGAAAAGAAGAAAGAAAAGAAAGAAAAATCTGACAAAAAAGTAGATTTCTCAAAGAGAAATGGCGATGATGTAAAAGCAAAAGAAGAAAAGACAATAAAAGATAAAGAAACAGAAGTGATAAAACATTTAACCCTTGAAAAGAACACTAGTAAAAAAAATGAAAGCACAAAAGAAGGTATAATATCAGAGGTGTTTATTAATTATGAACAGGTTGAAACAAATGGAAGGGTTTTTAATTTATTTGGAAAGTTTTGATATAGGTGAAAAGATACCGGCATTACATTTTATTGGTTGATTTTAGAATTTTTTTTTACCTGCAGCATGGTAATTTTCTAAAGATTTTAGCTTACTGGACAGAGAATACTTCAGAATATAACTTGTTTTTTAGACATAGCAGGTAATATGTTGGTAAGATAATACTAAATATTGTGATGAGTGTTTTTATCTTAACCGTACCTGTTCATTGCTTGTAGTGAGTATCTTTGCACTCTTTTCTTGGTTTTTAATTGCCCTTATTTCAGATTTTTAAACTGGAACAGTTTCTTTTTACTCTTCTCTACTACTACCCTATGCACTACTGATGAAAGGAAACATTACTGCATTTAAGTTTTCAGCTAATTTTTCTTTATTTACAATGTCTCATTTTCATGTTGCATTTTGAGATTCTTATCCTTTGCTTTCTCATTCAGGATCCTTTATTTCTCATTTTATGGTATTTTGCATTTTAATTTCTTAATATGCCAGGTATCTTTCCTATAGGATGGCTTTTTATACTTGCATGTTTTGACATCATCATTTAACAATCTTTCCGAAATACATTAATTTCTCACATTAGATATGCTTAAACGCTTTCATATGTTTTATTCAGTTTTAATTACTGTTAGGTTACTGTTACTGTTACTTCTGTTTCTTTGTATTCCTTTATCTCATCTAAAGCAATTGACATCGCTTCCATCTTCTTTTTTGTCAAATTTCTTTTCCTCTTTTCATAGGTATTATGTTAAAACCTTCTTGCATTATTTTGATTTCTTGTTTTATGTGTTTTATTAAGCTAGTTCTCTCTTGCTATGGCCTTTTTTTAGCATGGTGCCCTCCTGGTTGATGGCATGTCAGACACTGCAATTCCAAGCTGGTTTAACTAATAGCTATGCTGAGAATTGTGGGAAATTGGAATCCTAGTGTGACTGGAGGGTACCAGACTGGAGAACGGAAGCCTGAGAGTTGGCATTTCACTGAGGAGGAAGACTTTCATGACTATTCTTAGGACAAAATATTTTCATATCTGTTCTCTTATGATGATGCTCAGTTTCTGCACTGAGACCTTTTTACATACATGCACACCTTTTGCAGACTAATGAAGAGACAGACTTCTAAAGGTCATTTTCTTCAACAGCACTTTGGAAGGTGGGTAGTGCCAGGCATGTAGGAAGCTGTTTCTACTTTCTTGTGGGATGTTTTGGATTCTGGATCAGATTTTAAGTCATCTCTTGTCTTTTTTCTCAACTAGTGTTGGAAGATTCCGATGTGGACATACTGAGTGATATTACTGTTAGCTCCGTGCATACCAGTGATCTTTCTTCGTTTGAAGAAGATAGTGAAGACCTGCTTTCTGATAGCACAGAAGAAGGAGAAATTGTTTCTGATGGTAAAGTAATCTTGACCTTTGGCTAGTGAGAAGAATAAAAGTATGAATTTGTTTTTCCTTAAATACAACTCCCTTGTATACTTGTGGTACTATTAGTTGGAATAATTGAATATTACGTACATTCAGTGCATGTATTTTTGTGTAGTGTACCACAAAACCCTAAGTAAATACAGTTCTTTACTCCATGAGGCTGTCCCTAAAATGGGTTAAAATTAGCCTGGATGTGATTTTAAATGCTTGCATGGACACAGAATCCAAGCAAAGATTGGTGAGGAAACTCTTCTTGGCAAGACAAGGTATAAACATCCCTCTTGCCTTAACAAATAGCCTGGATCTGTCTATTCTCATATATTTAGATACCACATAAATGAAAAAAATGTTATTTCTAAATATATTTGTTATTTAATATGTGTTCTGCATTAATCACAAACCATAAGTGTACTCTGATTTAGCAAAACTCATTTTATGTTCAATAGAATGAGAACTAGTTTGGTCTAATGGGCTAGAAATAAGGAGGCTGTGAGTTCTAGTCCTGCCATAGGTAGTTCAGTTTACTTTGAGCCAGTCATTTTCTTTTGGCCTATGATGTCAGTTCCTATGGCAACCAATGAATCAACGTTCAGTTCTTCTTAAAGCAGAACTTGCACTTGCAGGAAAAAAACAACGCAAGGAAAAAAACTCTCATTTAATAAATATCAGGCAAATGATAGCATAGTGTCCTTTGTTCATAAGAACAGAGTCAGTTTGTTAATCCATATGGAAAAGTCATTTGAAAGATTTTGGTATTTTGATGTTAGGGTTGAATGTATGCTTTTGTTTTGTTTCATCTTGACTGATTGATTTGTATTTTATTCTATGGTAAAACAAATAGTAAAAAGTTTTCAGAAAGCTGCATTTGAATACTTAGCTGATTGTTTGCTTTGATCTTCTTGACCTTTTAGCTGTACTAAAAGGACAATTCTGTGCTTTTAGTGGCTGGAATATCTGGAATCAATTCATAGTTTTCCTAAGATAATTGAAGCTGAGACTATCAGATAATAGATAATATGCAATATAGCAATAGCATTTAGACTTATACACTGCTTCACAGTGCTTTAAAGCCCTCTCGAAGCCATTTACAGAGTCAACATATTGCTCCCAAACAATCTGGGTCCTCATTTTACCAACCTTGGAAGGATGAGTCAACCTTGAATCTGGTGAGATTCTAACTTCCAAATTGCTGGCAGCCAGCAGAAGTAGCCTGCAGTACTGCATTCTAACCTCTGTCCCACTGTGGCTCATATTACAATTCCAGAATCTTGTGGTAAAAATGAAAACTAAATTTACTGTGATCTGTAGTTCTGGATTTACCATAATAATGGGATAATAAAATAATGTGGGATTTTAACATATTATTTCTAACAATATATATTAATAAATATGGAGCATATTTATTGATACAGATGGAGGATAGTTAAGGCTAGGATCCTGAAATGCCAAAATAATTTTTACTTTCATATAATTTTTCATATAATTCATATAATTTTTCTTACCATCATATGATGGTTTTTCATTTCCAGTTACAGTTCCTTCTATACAACATCAGTTTTGAGAAAGGGGTCGGTTGAGCAGGGGGTTTCACCTATCTTGGGGGTAGTATCTGGTTCTTTGGATCTTAGCTTATATCTAAATTATAAAATGAACATTTCCTTACACTTTTGTTCTCAACTTTTATCTAGACGAGGAAGATGAATGCAGTCAGATTAAAGCAAAATCAGAGGCAGAAGGGACAAATGATAAAAAAACAAAATCTGGACGACATGCTTACATCCACAAGCCTTACCTTTACTCCAAATATTACAGTGATTCAGATGATGAAAGAACAGTGGAGCAACGTCGCCAGTCGGTTGTAAGCTGAATTGCTCTTTTATCTCTTTCCTTAATGAGTGGGAGTTTGCCAGGATGAATGATACTTTGAAAAAATTCTTCCAGGATCATTTATAATGCAGCAGTTTTTTCTGTGCTCCAAGCTGAGGGTTCTGTGTCACAGAAGTGCTTGCTCCATTTTCTTATGAATGTCAATTTGTCAAAAAATTGGCAAGGGAAGTTTTTTACACATGCAGTCCCAAAGGTGCTTTTTCAAGAGGCAACTGGATTTTCTTGTTTTTCTTTGAAGATGTTTCACTTCCCATCCAAGAAGCTTCTGACTGGATGGTGTGGAATGGAAGGATTTATAGTTATTGCAGACAACTGATTATTTACATTCTTTTAGAGAGTCGTTTGGGCCTCCTGGAGGTTTCTATGTGTCGTGGTCAGGGTCACCTCTGGTGCAAATGTGTGTGGAGCCTTCTTGGAGCTGTTGAAAGGACTGTGTTGTACACTGGAGATAGATGATGTTGTATCTCTCCCCCTCTGTTGAGAGAGGGCTGGTCAATTTTGACATAGATGGCCTCTTTGATCCCTCTTTCAAACCAGCAGTCCTCTCTGTCTAAAATGTGGACTTCCCTGTCTTCAAAAGAGTGGCACAACATAGAACAAACCCATCAGGACAGGATTCATCTGCATTTGAAAAACAAAGGCCACACAGTCCTTTTAATAGTTCCAAGAAGGCTCCATACCCATTTGCACTACTCAGGTGACCCTGACAACGTACCTCCAGGTGGCTTCAACGAGACTCTAAAAAGAATGCAAATGACTAGCTGTCTGCAAATCCTTCCATTCCCCACCATCCAGTCAGAGCTGAAGAAGCTTCTTGGGTGAGAAGTGAAACATCTTTAAAGAAAAACCAGATAGTCCAGTTTCCTCTTGAAAAAGTACCTTTGGGACAACTATGACCTGAATGACTGAGAATCTCTATAAATGTGTTACATCCACTGCATGCAATCCAGGTAGCCAAGATTTTATTTGTTTTAACTTCGAAATACTTGGATACATATCATGCTGGCAAAATTTAAGGCAAGAAAAAAAATGCCTGGTTTCAAAATTCCTTTCTCCTTCTAATTTTTAATGTATTGCTGCTAGTTTAACATTGTTATCTCTTAAATTGAAAGAAAGATTTACGGATGTCTCAAGTGCTTTGTTGCTATCTGTGCCATCTCTCACCAAAATAACTACTGATTGTGTCTGCCCTGGAATACCTGGAACCTCATTTTTTCTTAACTAAATTCATCCATAGTGTGGGATAAATGAATAGAAACTCTCTTCTGTATATTCATCTCATGCAAATGCATGATTCTTCCATCTTGCCTTTGTATTGCTTTTGTTTCAATCTGGGCTCTCTGTGTAGTTTTATGTTTATCTGTTTTTATGGATGTTTTGCTATTATACTGATGAGTCCATTGATGGCTTGCTATAACAAATCTGAATAAATCATTGTGTAGGTGTTAAATTTTGCTGCCACTTTAAGGCATTTTGCATTGACATATAATATGAATTGTAGTAGTCCAGCTATGGACAGTCATCACCACATCCAACTAGTTGAGAAGATTTGGATGATGCACCAAATATATTGATCCTCTGTGTAAATGTCCTTTCTAAATTCAGTGTCAACTGAGGATCCAAGTGTCGGGCCTTGAAGCCATCTTAGGCATTGGATCTTCAGGCTGCCACATTTAGTCTGTGGGAAACTGGGAAGGGGGATTGCATAGAGCTGGGGAAATATATAGTGATAATAACCTTCTTTTCTCCAAGAGTCAATGACATTCTGTCCTGCACCTGGAAGGGTGTGACTGGGAAGCATCTCCAGTTGGGATGGTGCTTTGATTAGACCATGTGATTGACATGTGGATGCTGGGTAGCTGCGTGGACTTTCTTTTGGGTGGGGAAAACCTGAAATGTTTCAGATTTGGGTTTTCCCAGAAGTGCCAATATGACATCTCTAATAAAATGGAACTTTGAGGAACTTCAAGCCTTGGAATCTTCTGTTGTTGGGAGTGTTACTTGGATCCCTGACATTATCCTGAATCATCTTTAAACTTCAACCAGCTCCCCAAACCTCGAGGTGCTGTCTGAGGTCCAGAGCCTCGAACATCGACCCACCATCACTGGGTGGTGTGAAGACTCAGGAAAGATGGAGGAAGACAAATCAGCCACAAAGGGAGCCACGGGCGAGCTCGGCGGTCTACATCAAGACCATCTACTCCCCTTCCCAAGCTGTGGTGGAAGCAGAGAGGGTCACAGAAGTGGAACGTCAGGTGGGTGCCCAGCCCAAAGAGCCGATGCCCAAATTAACCACCCAGCAAGACCTTATTCTATGGGACAAAGCTGCAAGAGCCACACTACCTTAAGAGACAATGCCTGGAACAATGCTACTGAGCCAACAGATGGGACTGAACAGAACGGAGCTGACCCCAGTTTATGAGTGGAGAGTGCCAGAGACCCCAGGTGCTCTCGGATTAGGGATTCACGCAGCCAGTTGTTAGCAGGCCTCCTGGAGCAATTCGGCCAACTCAGCATGAGGAGCACAGCTCAGTTCCTGGGAACTGGACAACCCCATTGGAATCTCTGGCTCAACTCCCATTCACCTCCCATTCACCGAGTGCAGCATCTGCCTCCTCTTATACGGCCCGTAGCAGATCGTGCCACAGCTTCGCATGTCAGGCCCGATGTATTGAAGGAACAGCATATGCTGGAATCGGAATTGGACAGCAGCAAAGCTCCTTGAATCACTTCAGAAATGAGTGTTACTTGGAACCTGCCACAAAGAGTAATCTAAGACTGCAAACCTGTTCCTTTAGAATGAGAACAAACTTACCAAACATTCACAGCACCTAATCCCCAAATTGAGGATATCATTCTCCCAGTAGCACCTTTGTCTTATCTAGATTCAGTTCTTCATCTAGCTCGGGTGTCAGCAACCCACAACTCCGCAGCCGCATGTGGCTCTTTAACCCCTCTACTGCGGCTCCCTGCCTACCTGGTCGCATGACCTGCTCTCTGCCCCGAGACATTGGCCCAACTTGTCCGTGGCTCAGACAACCTTGCTAACACAAGGGGTGGGAATGTGATTTTGGAAGAGGGTACAACGGAAAGGGGGACAGGCCCACAGCTGAGAAGTGAGCACGAGCTGGCGGCTTCCCCGCTTTCTCACTTGACCCGCTGGCCCACTGTTGCTGTGATGGGCGGGTCGCACACGAGCAGGGATACCCTCAAGTGAGCAGCTGGGTTCGACTAAAGTGCAGCAAAGGCATGCGAAGCAGGCAGGTTGAGTGGCTGACAGGCGAGCGTCTTTGGTGAGGGCGCTCCAGCTTTCTCCGAGCGTGACCCCCAGGCTGGGTGTGTGAGAGAGGGTATTGCTTGCGGACGGTATTCCTGCTCATGTGCGAGAGAGGGTATCATTCGTGCAAGAGAGCAAGTGAGAGAGTAATGACAGAGAAAAGGAGTAAAAAAAGAGAGAGAAATGAGAAAATGATGGAGGGGAGAGAAAGAGAGAGGAAAAAGAAACAAATGAGAGAGAAGGGAGAGAGAGAAATGAGAGAGCTGGAGGGAAAGAATGGGAAAAGAGGGAAACAAATGAGAGAGAGAGAAATGAGAGAGCTGGAGGAAGAGAATGAGAGGGTAAAGAGAGAAACAAATGAGAGAGAAGAGGGAGAGAAATAAAAAAGGGAGAGGAAAAATAGAAATGGGAGGCAGAAGTGACCCATTTCCCACAGAAAACACCGGGATCCACAAAACCTGGATAGGTGTGGCTGCGGGGTCATGTGACTGGGTGGGAGTGACGTTGAGTTAGCTACACCCACCTGGTTTTGTGCTCCTGGTGTTTTCTGTGGGAAATGGGTCCAAATAGCTCTTTGAGGGTTTAAGGTTGCAGACCCCTTATCTAGCCCATTGTGGAATTTAAACAGTTTCCGAAGTGAACTTCTGTCAATCTCCAAATTAACCTCTTTAAGCACTTTTTTTTTGTGAACGTCAAAGATCAGTGGGAAATAGATGGAAATCCAGGGATCAGTGGCCTCATTTTGGAAGAATATTCCTTCAGCAGCATCTTCTAGACCAGTGATGCTAACTTTTTTTGTACCCGTGTACCGACCTGCATGGTGGAAATGTCACACAAAACGATCCCGCGAGGAACACACGGCCTCGTTGGCCTTCGCATATGTAGGAGTGCCGAAAGCCGGAAGAGCAGCGCTCCATTGCACATGCGCTCAAATTTCCAGTGCGGGCCTGACAAACAGCTGGCCATCGCGCTTGTGCACAATGGAAACCCGGAAGTTAGAGTGCCATTGTGCACAAATGCATAAAGTCTGGCTGGCGTGGGCATGTGCACAGAAACACAGAAGAGGAGCCAGCGAAGCTGCACATCCTGCACAAGATGGCTCTGTGTGCCGTTTCTGGCACATGTGCCATAGGGTCGCCATCATGGCTCTAGACTTCGAACACGAAAGGATCTGATCCATTGTGAAACAAGTTTCCTACAGCCCAGCCTGGAAGGCAGTCAAGCATAATAGTATGGGAAACGGTAGGAAAGAGTTGCTAGGAAATACAAGCGAATTGGCAGCGTTTCTCTTCCCCTATCTAGTTTCTGGCACAAATCACTCATCATGATGATGGGAGCAGTTTTATTATTGTCTCCCAGCCAAATAGAACTTCATCTAGATAGAATCATACTGCTGGAAAGAACCTTGGAGATCTTCTAGTCTAACCCCCT